CTTACATGGGTGACTCACCTCAAAATGTAACTGTCTTGAGAACTAGGTTGTTGTATGCTAATTTTTCACTAGGTGCCATTTATGCACATTAATTGATCTGAAACATTGGTTTGGTTGTTCACTGCACAAGGAGGATTCTTACCCGTTCTCTGGAGATGCTAATAATTGTGTGTTTTCAGCAGTCCAAACAGTGCTGGTGTTACAGAATGCTGTTTGTTCTTTGCCAGACCATGATGAATAATGTTTTATTTAGCTGATGATGTTGTATCCGTCAGTGTTTACATTTAAACTACAAGTCTTACACCTGTACACTGACGTTCACATTCTTCTTGCTTCGGTGCTAAGGTCATGGCCATGTAGGAAAAAATAGGCATTATTACTAAATGTCACAAGTTATATTACAGTAGTAAGAGACTGAGACTAATAAGCAAAATGGCATACCCATTTGATTTTCTACATTTTCTTACTGTAATAAACATTCTGTGGTACTGGATCAAAATAGGGCAATTCTAGCACTTACATTAGCCATCAGAAATAGAGTTGTTTCTTCTCTTACCACTTCACTTTGTGGGTATAGCGAAATGGACTCTGGTCCAGCTTCATTGCAGAGTATTCATCTTCCCTAAGCATAAGGGACAAAAGCCTTGTGTAAACGTTGAACCTCTCTAGGGTTACAATTGCAGAGGAACTGTTTAGTGCAGTCGCCCTAGTCCTTATTTTCTTCCACCCGAGGAATTCTCCTAACTCTTCATCTCTTCGCAGGAACGAACTCATTCCTGTCTTTGCCTTTCCTTTTTCATGCTGTAAATAACTCAACTCTGCCAGGCAGAGTTTTCACTTTCTTTCTCTCACTCGCTCATCTTTGTTTGCGGGAACCTCCTGGCTTCTCCAAACTGGACTTTTTCAGCCTGGACGCAAATTCTAACAAAGGCTTTCCAGCCCTCGTCTGTAGCCAAGTCGCTGTGCAAGCAAGGAGGCTGAGACCGGGCTAAGTTATTTCCCCCGTGGAACTGGCATTGCACTTGTAGGGTGCATAGAACCCCGTCGGGGCCGTGTGCGGACTGAGAGGTTTGTCTGTGCGTCTCGGGAGGGAAGCAGCTCCCCTCAGCCTGTCTGCTTGGCTTTCTTGAGCTGCTCGCAGTAGCAGTGGTGAGGGTTCTGAGGCAGACTCTGAGCCTGGCGGATTTCTCCATGTTGAGTGTGGGAGACTCCTGCTGGCCGGCATTCACCTGCGAAGTTTGTTTCCAGGGGGCCTCTGTGCGTCCGACTGTCCTGTGCAGCCAGGTCCTCAGAGCGGACCCCTGAGCTCCCAGCCGCCGCAGCGCAGACCAAGGCGTGCGCTCACATTCCCCGGCTGTACTGTGCCATAGCCCCGTCCAGCTCCTCTGGTCACCGTGAGCCGAGCGTGGCCTCTGTGGCCCCGGGGTAGGACCTGGGGACTTGAGAAGAGGAGGAAGGAGCTCTTCTCTGTTGGAGCCCCAGTGCTCCTGGGCGGCTTTTCTCAGCCGCGCCAGAGAACTCGAAAGGCTGGCAGAGGGGCTTGGTCCTGGCCGGCACAGGGAGGACTCGGCCCCTCCCGTCCTTGCCCTGCTTACAGAAGTCCACTTCCGGGCGGTAACGCCGAGGTCTGTGCCTGGTCGGCTCGGCCGGGTTAGCAGGTTCTTGTTCTTGTCACCTGACCCAAGTGTGCTCTGTGCGGCTCCCTCCTGAAGGGAGCAGGTTGAAGCTGGGACGAGATAAACACAGGCACCACGTTAGCTGTCCCAGGGCCCGGTCTCTGACCTCATATCGCTTGTCCAAGCAGACTGCTGTGTGGACACGAGGGTTGGTTTCATTCCTTTCCCTAGTGGTCGTATCCATAGTGGACTGTCTTCGTCTGGGTACTCCAGGAGCATAGCTGTGGGCACCCTAAAAATGCATGGATGGATGTCCACCAGTTCAATTAAGAGGTCTTAACCCGGCCTCCTCTGTGCAAACCCTGTCTATTTTAGGTTTAAATTTCTGCTCATAAATTTTTTAAAAACCAAAAGAAAGATTGGTTTTCAAGGTTAGGTTGAAATCTAAGGATCCTTAAACAAAAAGCAAATCCCTACGAGGGAAAAATTGATACCTCTAATGTACCTCCTGGCATTTCCAACTCCATCATTTAAACACACTTTAATTAATATTCTCTTCACTTTAAAATACAAATCAAGCCGGGAACCAGAGAAATTCACTGTTGTGGGCATTCAGATACAAGAGGAACACCCAGTTGTATGCAGCTGGGGTTTTTTTCTTGGGCCTGTATTTATTTCAGTTGGTAAGAATCCATCAGCTACACAATAACTGTCCAAACTAAGAAGGCAGAAATGACCTTGACTTCAGACAGGTCTCTACCAAGTAAGTAAAACAGAAAAGTAAATTAATTTTTAACCTTATTGATAATATTTTAATGCAAATACTTAAGAGAGATCTTTCATTTGTATTAATTATGTATGGACAAATCAGTTTGTAAGTCTGGTCATCTGGCTGGCTCCGTACTTAGCATCCTGACCTGCCAGTGTGGAGGTACACGAGGGCAGGGTAGTTTTGCTCCTTTTTGATTTAGAAAGGACAGGGTAGGTGCTAAGTGTTGTTGAAGCTTTCACATCATTTACATTTTCTTGTGGACCTTTGGTGTTGCCGGTGCCTGGGCAGGATAGGATATTTTTGTGTGTGTCTCCTGGGTGGATGGCCCTGTCTCCAGCCCCTGAATGCAACTGAGGAACTGCACGGTGGGTCAGTGGCTGGCTTCCTCTAGCGTCTGTGGTGGAGCCTCTCAGAGCAGGCCCCGCAGGCTGGCCCTGACCGTTTCTGTGACACAGGGTCCTCCGCTCTTGGCTGGCTTATTTTCATGTGGCTTGGAATCATAAACTAACTTGGCACATACTGGACCCCCGTGCTTTATGGCTGTTCGTGTTTTCCATTACTGTTATGACTCTGTAAGAGTGGGAGGCAGGCCTGATATGGATGAGAAGTGAGAAGGAAAGAAGCTACTTTCAGATTATTATAAAAAGTGATCTGGGGTCTCCCTGCATCCCTTTCGCCTTAATATTAACGAGTAAACATCAGGAAAGTCACTGGCTCTTGTACTTCTAAATTAATTGAGAGAAAAAATGCTTTCCATTTGTCCCTGAGGAAGTGATTAGATATTTCACCTAGGAGTAGATCAGGCAAGCTATCACACAGAAAATTCTATTTGCTAGGAAAATTCCAAAGAAAATGGATTTGGCAAAATTTTGTGCATCTGCTTAGGAATAAGGTCAAGAAGAATTTGACTTCTGTTAATACAAAATTAGAAATTTTGCTTTAGTTTTCTGTATATATATTAATGACTTAAAATTTTCCAGAACAAAAGTAATAGAGGTATGCGACCTCTAAAACATACTAGATTATTCCTGAAGATATTTAATTTGTAATTTCTAATGGCAAAATGAAAGGATCTTTCCTATAATTTCCTGGAAAAAGAGAAAATAATTTAAAAAGTATTCTTTTTAAATCATTCTGAATGTAATATTAATTTATAATAGGTAAAATTTCAAATATGGTCCCAATATAAATTTATTCATATCTTCAATTTTTAGTACAGGCTTTGTATTTAGTTTTGCAGTTTATTCTGAAGGACCTCTGAAGGGTTTTACGTCATGATTTTTGTTTGTGTCTTTACCATGGCGATTGTTGCAAGACGATAAAATCGGTCACTTTGCCAAACTTAAGTAAAAGTTCACCATTTTATATCTTTTGTTCTTTGAACTTTTGCATGAACAGGGTTTTTGTTTTGGTACAATCACCAGGTTAAGATTATCTGAAAATTTCCAAGTGGACATGTTCTTTACAGTACTTTCCTGTGATTAAAGTCCTCATTTGCTTGAAAGCAGAAGTCTTGAGCAGTACATCTATATTTCTAGACCCAGAGTCCCTTTAGTTCTGTTTCTTTGTACGCTGTGCTCTCCCTTGCAGGAGGAATATTTTCAACTCGATCTCCTTCAGTGTCAGGAACTTTCGATCTTGCATCCGTCCAACTTCTTGCTTAAACGTGGTCAGATTTCACACAGCCAATTTACCCCTGCAAAGTTGAAGGAGAGTTAGGATCCAGTCCTCCCACAGATATGGGGGTGCTTTAGGTTTTGTTTTAAATAATTTGTTTGTTTGCTTGCTTGCCTTTATGTAACGCTCTAAACTGTTACAAACAACTCAGAAAATACAGATTTTTCCCTTTGAAACATTTTCCCAGACTTTTCTCTTCTCTCCTCAAAATATTTCACAGCTATGCTTGGTACCAATTTTGTGAAATTCTTTTAACTTAATTTTATCTAATTTTAAATTGAAGCTTTACTTTATTTAAAATTTTTCTATTTAGAAATTGCCTTAACTGAATTAATTTTTGTTTTTTTTAGTTCAAAGGTCTGCTTGTGTTTTTAATAGAAAAAACTGAATTTGGTTCTAGAAAGGTGTGCATGAACCTGCCTTTGCTGACAAACTCTCTTCTCTCTCCCACGTGTGAGCACAGGGCCGTGCCACGTGGGGCCCTGTCCTGAGGCCGGATGCTCTGCTGCTCCAAGCACATGTGCACTGGCACCATACGGGGGCGCTGCCTGCAGACCCTGTCGCCCAGTGCAGAGCTGAATGCCGACAGCGCTGATGGCTGATGTTTGGGTGGCTTTTATATACCAGCTTCAAAATGTGTTTGGACACTTGATTGTGTTCGGAGTCAAGCTTCAGGTGTGAGCAATCAAGAATGAAGTCTCTGCCAGGCTCCAGGGTATAAATAACGGAGAAAGGCAGTGTGGGGATGGTCTCTCGGCGAAGCTAAGCGTCCCGGGACACAGTGCCCACCTGGCTCTTCTTTCGTTGTTCATCTCGCTCTGTCGCTCTAATGTCTTCCTCAGTTTAGAGGCTGAACTTTTTGAGCAAGCTAGCACCTCTGATCCACTTTCCCTCGCAGACCCTGTAATTTTTGGCTGTGTTTTTATCTTTTTCAGATCCAAGTCAATCTGAAAGTCCCAGCCAGCCAAGTGACGCTGACATTAAGGACCAGGCAGAAAACGGTAAGCTCAGTGTGGGCCTCCAGCTGCTGCTGCAGAGCCCGCAGGGCCGAACCGAGGGTCTCGGGGTCTGCTGTGTGGGTGCCTGCGGTGGGCACCCTGAGGACTCAGGGAGGAAGCGCGAGCAGACTTCTCTAGGGGGGTAGAGCACCCAGGAAGCCCTGTGAAGACCCAAATTCCCAGCGCTGGTCCCCTCGTTGAGCTGAGAGGTGGGCTCGGTCTACCAACCAGATTCTTCACAGTGGGAAGCGAGACCCAGGGCCTTGCCCACTGATGTCTGTTCCTTTTGAAGTGGCAGCGCCCAGAGTCCTCACTGGTGACTTCAGCTCCTTCCCAGACAAGCGTCTCTGACGACTTTAGGCCCTCAGCCCTAATCTCTACCTTTGAAGCAGTTCACACTTTAAATCATCTAAAATAAAACTGAGGTTATAGGAGAGTATTAAATTCCTCAAGTGCATAAATACACAGACTTTCTGTTGTAGAAATGTTATTAGAGTAGAATGTGCCTTTACATGTGAATGTAATAGCACCTTGCAAAACGCTGCGTTTGTGGAATGCACTCCAAGTGCAGAAAGACTGCCGTGGGCTGGAATTTTAGATGGCGCAGAACCATCAGTTCCAGTGACGGCAGAAAGGTGCTGTGGAGGCCCCTGCTGTGTCTGGATGTTGTCGCTGGTAGGTGGGCTCAAACATCGATCGTCTCGTAAAATCCAAACTGTTCCTCTTTGGCCTGTCACTTCTCACCTCTCATGTACAGCGGGTCACCTGACCTCTCGGCTGTGGACTCCTTTCTCTGAAACCGAGGCCTGTACCTACTGTGGAAGAATTAGGAAACACAATATGCATAACATGCTTACCTACTGTTTTTCATGAAGTTAGGGGAAAACACTACTGGCCGAGGTTCAGTATTACGGTTCTTCTCGGCCGCCACACTGTTTTGCTGCCTGTTCAGGTGGCCTCAGCCTCGGTCAGTCTTTTGTGCTGTTTGTTTCCCTTTTGTTCCCCGGCTGATCTTTCCACAGAGACAGAATCATGGGAGCATGGCGGGAGAGAGGGTCAAGCTGACCGCCTTGGGTGTCCTATCTCTTCAGACTCTGTTTCATCCCTTCCCCTGGGAAATTCCCCTTGACAGGCTCCGGCATTAAATATGAACGGTCTGACTGTTCCTCTCTTCATCCTGATATTTTGGTAATATTTTCTATATCCAAGTTGTTTTTTCTTTTTAAGTAGCTTCAAGAGGACACGAAAACTCTAAAGGTTTGTTTTTAGTGTCATAAACAGCTACCTACTATTTTTTGTTGGCATTTTAAAGAGCAAATTTATAGACTGGTTTTATTCTTCATTTTGCACTTGACTTATGGATGATGCTTAAATGTTCCCTGTACTATACTTGCACACAATCTCCTTGAAGATGTATCAGGACACCTGTCTTATTTTATGAGTCTCCTCTTGTTGCTGCAGGCTGTGTGGTTTGCCGTGTGGGTCTGGCCCTTGAAGTGGCTTCAAACTCTCCCTGCAGATGTAAATGGGAGCTCGGGCCTGCCATGGTCCTCTGGAGCCACCGGCAGTCTGGCCTGTGCATTTCCCTCCCAGAAAGCAGCCAGGATAGAGCCTGGAGGCTTGGCCATAAGCGTGGCCAGACCTCGCCACGTTTGCTTTTAACCCCAGACTACCTAGTGCGTCTTCAAGGAGTTGCAATGCCATTCTGGGGAGAATGTGTGAGTTCACAAAAGCAAACTGTTCCTATCTAGCAGCTAAAGCAACACATTCCCACCTTTCAAATTCTTATTTATTTCAAAGACAAAGAAGTAGAAGCTGCTTTGTCTTCCACTACCCCAACCAAAGAGTTGCCACGGTGCTCATGTCTTCCGTCTGCTCTTAGTCCACTGCAGATGGAGTTATCTGGGGAGACTGTCTCTCCGTAAAGACAGCCAGTCCCTGCAGGAAGCAGGCATGGCCGTGGCGTGGCGTTTGCACCTGCTGGGTGATTCCTTTCTGGTGTAGCTTCAGTCCAGTGTGTAGCCTCTGCTTCCCGGCCCTAGCTTGTGCGAACCAGCTCCTGAAAGGTGTCCGACTTGTTTTGTTCTGAAAGAACAGCTTTCACGGTGTAGCAGCAGAGCTCTGAAGTTTTGGATGGCTGAGAACCAACACACTTTGCCATCAGAGGAAGTGGGGACTCTTTCCCTGCACCTGCATGCACTCGAGGGAAAGTACTGTTCTTTCTATCTTAGCTCCTGAAAAGGTAATGGGAAGCGAATGGTATTCCCCATAAACCATGGAGAATGGATAGGCAAGTGGTAACCTGCAGTTTTATGCAAAACCGTAAACCAGGCCACGGAACTCGACCTAAAGTGGATGCAGCTTTCCTCCCTGTCCAATGAGTGTTTTTTCTGCGGAATTTTTGCTTTCTTTATTGTGGTCCCTTAAGATTTAACTGTAAAGAAAACAAGTCTTGGTCCAGTTAGCATTTGATGGGAATTTTGAAGAAATTATCTGAGGCCCAGAGATAAAATACCAGAATGTCTGAAACTCAAAATTAGTATAATTTAATGGTTAAAAAGTGCCTCTGAAGTCAGAGACCTGAATTCAAATTAAGTAGCAGCCAGGTGACTAAGTGAGCTGCTACCCCAGGCTCAGTTACTTGTGAGTAAAGTAGGGATGCTGAAGAACACAGCCTCTGGGTGTCGAGGTGCACGGGAAACAACACAGTTACAGACCCCAGGTAGCCGTGCTTATGGTGCAGAGAGAGTTGTTCTAAATGTGAGGAGCACATATGTTCATGAGCCCTGAAGCCAGGGGCCTTGGAGGGACGGGGGTGGCGTCAGAAAAAAAGCAAGGCTTTTAGAGACACCTTGTGTGGATTCCTGCTCTGCTCTGAGATGCCAGACAGAAGTTTCTTCCTTAATTCCCCACAGTGCTGCATCTGCTTCTCTGCTCAGCGCTGTCCTCGTGGTCCATCCCTTGCCCCTGAGTCTGAAGACCGGCAGACTGCAGAAGTCAGAGTTTCAAGACTCCAGAGCGCATGCTCAGGAAGAAAGGCTCCACCTAGGTGTCTTTAACATGAGCTGAGTTTTCCTTGGTGCAAACCAAGTAGAATCTGGCTTATTAAAAGGCAGGCTGATTAAGAGTAAGATTCACAGCAAATTCCTTTTTTTTTTTTGGTGCCAGGGGTTGAGTTCAGGACCTTACGCTTGCAAGGCAGGGGGCGGCACCACTGAGCTAAATCCCCGGCCCAGCAAATCCCTTTTAAAAATAATTTGGCACAACAGCTAGTAGAAAGCACCTGGTGCTTATTTGCTTCATGAATATAACGTTTGCAGATGAGCGTGTTGTCATATCCCTACTATTGTTGAGTGTCTACTCACTGTTGAGTTACTGAAAGGTTTTGAAACTAAAAAAAGCATAGTCTGAAGGAGCTGAACATCTACTCTGAGGACAGGAAAAGGCCGTGAGCAGACACCGGGCTGAGAAGCACAGGCAGGACCAGTAGGGCCCAGAAGCAGCTGCGGTCATGTGAGCGCCTGCCTGGTTACTGCAGGGAATGCAGCTCAGATAAGTTCCCAGCCCCGACAGGAGCCCCTGCAGCCTTACCCAAGGCACGGCAGCCTGGCCTCTAGCTTTTCAAGAGCTCCAGAAGGTTTTCAGCCTCACCTGTTGGACTTGGACTTCACACATCCTTCACACATGCATGCGTGTCCCTGGGGTAGAGCTAAGGCTGGTTGCTAAGCAGAGCATTCCTGGAGCAGACCCTTGAGGGCTGCTAGGTGTCCACAGGACCTGTGAGCATCCTCCAGAGCCAAGCATCAGCCCGGCATCCATGGAGCCCCCTCGATGAAAAAGAAAACGTCAGGTTTCCTTGCCAAAAAGCACACTGAGTTCACATTCTTCCCTGTTTACTGCCTCTCACCACCTGCATACCCCATAATAACCTCATCTTGTGGTTTCACTTTCCTGACTTTCCCTTGGCTGAACCTGTTCGTTCCTCCTCACTGACTGGTGGTGGCCTGTATGCTGGTGACATCAGCCCTCCGATGATCCTGGCCATCAGTGAAAAGCCATTCGTCATGATGCTTGCCCCAGAGTTTGAGAATTCCCAGCATGACCTCCCAGCTTGAAGATCAACCTAGAATATTAGCTGGATCTAGATTTCATGGTCACCATCCTGACTTATGGCATTCCCACCTGGAGTTGTTACACCAGACATCAATGTCTAATGTTGCTAGATAGACAAGGAATGTATTTGTCGTCAACCCTAACTGTCCATATTTCATTAGTTATCACTTATTTCTGTGCATATTTTGAATATTTTAATGTTTGCAGAAGGTCTTGCAAAGCTACTGACTTCCTGACTTAAGATCTGTTGAAGGATTCACTTTGTTATTTGGGGTGAGATAAGTATCAATTTCTGTTTCCCTTTTAGATAAATACTCTTTTATCTGATAATATGCTCTTTATAAATTAGAGACCCTGGGCCAGGGATTTAGCTCAGTGGTTTCGCTGCCTGCTGTGCAAGTGCAAGGACCAGAGTTCGAGCCCGGTACCAAATAAATAAATAAATAAATAAATAAAAATAAATTAGAGACCCTCTGGTTAATGTTTTAAGTTGCTTTTACTACCTCCTTAAATATACAGTAGATTTACTGCAATATTATATTGCAAAATTAATACATAGTGGGGGGGCAAAATAGAACTCATAATTCCAAACTGCAAGAACTGTGACTAGCGGGTGGACTGTGTTTTAAGAATGAGTGTGATGAGTGTGTCATTCAATCGGATCCTTTTAAGCATTCTGAAGGCATTGCAGACTTCCAGTTTGCATTCTTTGGGTGAGCAGGAGTGACCCAGCACCATTGACTTGTAAATACAGTCTATCAATATTTCATCATTTGCATAACTTTCCTTTACAATTACCTAGCGACAGTTATTCTCTGCAGTGTTCCTTCAAGCCCCTGCAGGGACAGACACAGTAGAGTGGCCACCATGATAGCAGCAATAGCGGTGGT